AAGTATGAAAAAAATTTTTTTTTACCACATGAAATGTTAATTTTAATACACACAAACTGAAAAAGGCATGCACAATTACATGACACTTACTTTTATTGAAGATCTGGTGATGATTGATGGGAAGGGAGGGGGGGAGAGCATTATCTTTTTTACTGTTTAGAAGGGGAATCCCCTTCCATTACGACTTGAGGTAGCAAGTCCTTTTTCCCGGGGGTTTAAATTCCCTTCTTCTTTTAATGCCACTAGGACCAGCTTGAGAGTCACTGGACCTCTGTCGCAACAAACAATCTGTCCATAGAGCTCTGTACCTCCCGTTCCTTTTACGATTTGTCTAAAATGGGCCACAACATTGTCATTGAAATAGTCACCAGCACGGCTTGCAACAGCTGTGTCAGGGTGATTTCATCTATAAAGGTTTGCAGTTCAACCCACTGTGCACACTTTTCCCTTTTAATCTTTGAAGTAGGACAATGGATTCCACAACTGGCATAGGCTTCTCAGGTTAGCCCAAACCCTTCAAAATCTTTTTTAAAATTTCCATACTAATTCTCACCCTTTTTACCACAGGGTTGGCACTAGAAGCTTTCTTGGGGCCCATGGTCACTTATTTTCCAGAAACAGCACAAAACACTGTAATAATACGGAAATATTCGAGTGTATTATGCTTGGATGTTAACGTGGGGCTGGCTGGTAAACAATGGGACGGCCGGCACATGTGAGGCTGGCTGAGGGCACATTGGACGCGTCTCGGACGAAAATCGGTAAGCGGGTTTTTAATCGGTATGCGCGGCAAAAATTTTGCGATAAAAGTAATCGGTATGCGGAAAAATCGCTATGTGATGCCATCGTTATGCGGGGGTCCACTGTATATGATTAGAAAAGCAGTGGTACAGAGAGTGTCTTGGATGTGGTCTTTTCAGATCACAGAGGTGTTTTGGTGGAATTGGGATGGGAGGGATTGCCAAACAGGTATAAGAGCTATTGGAAATTGAATGTTTGGTTACTTAAAGATGTCGAGGGGAGGGTCTTATTTGCACATTTGTGGGAAAGGTTGTGGGAAGGGATGAGCGTGGAGGGGGGTGTGTTAGACTGGTGGGATACAACGACAAAAACGAGGATTCAGGAATTCTATGTACGCCAGGGGAGGCATGAGAACCAGCTGGCTTATGGGCTTATTAGGCATCTTGAGGGGCAGTTAAGGGAGTGTTATGAGAGAGGGAGGGGGGTGGGAGCCCCAGTGGCAGACATAGGGATTGAAGGATACTCAGGGAATTGCAAAGTGAACGGTTCAATGTGGTAAGGGTTTTAGGGGGGTTAGAGGAGGTGATATAGGGTGATAGGCCATCGGTGTGTCCTGCGAGGGCAGGCGCATCAGCATATTGCTATGGAAATGGTAGGATTGTGGGTCCATGAGGAAATGGAGGGGTATAGGGAGGGGCAAGAGCTGGTTGCAATGGAGGGGATGGGGGGGTATGTAGATGGTTGGCTTAGTGCATATGAGAAGTGCAGGAGTGAGTGTGGGGGTGTTAAGGGAGATGGGAGATTGGGTGCAGTGTGTGCTTGACAGGGATGACAGGGAAAAGTTACAGGGGAATATCGTAGAGGTGGTGGTGTGGACGGCATTAATGGGCATGAGTCAGGGTAAGGCGCCGGGGATAGATGGGCTGCCTATCGACTTTTATATACAGCATTAGGATGTATTGAATGAATTTTTGGTGAAATTGTTTGTCATGAAAGAGAGGGGTGAATTGGGAGTTGCAAGTGACAGCGATTGTTGTTTTTGTACCAAAGGGTGATAGGCAGTATATGGTGAGGGATTATCAAATGATATCACTCATGTGTGCGGACTACAAACTCTTTGCGAAAATATTGGGAAACTGTTTTAAGAGGGTCATTGGTAAGGTTATAGTAGGGGACAGTGTGGGGTACCGGGGACATCAGTGTGCAAGGGGCATGGGGTCATTAGAAGGTTCATTGAGAGTACGCATGAAGGGGGGGAGGGGTATTAGCGCTTGATTGGAGGGCGGCGTATGATAGCGTCAAGAGGAATGCATTGCGGAGAATCATGAGGTGGCAGGGGTTTGGGGAGGAAATAGTGAGATGGGCGCATACTTTATATCAGGGAGCCGGCATGTGTGTGCAGATTAATGGGAGGGTGGGGTCGCATGTGTGCATGGGCAGGGGATTGAGACAGGGCTGCCCTCTATCACAAATGCTATTTGCATGTTTACAGAACCCTTTTTACAGGGCAGTGGAATGGTGCATACAGGAGGGGGTGATTGATGATCTGAGTGGTGGGAGACCTGGTATCATAGGTTATGTTGATGACATGACAGTCCTAGTGAGTGGGAGGGAGGGATTGAAGGGTCTGGGGAGAGTCATGGATGTTTTTGGGGCAGCAACAGGTATGGCGGTGAATGTGGATAAATCAAAGCTCATGAGATTAGGGGCATGGAATGGGTGGGAGGGTGAGGGTAACGGGGCGAGGTGATGTGTTGTGGATCAGCTAAAGATCTGCAGGGTGGTGTATATGGGTGATGCACAGAGTGAGGTTAATTCAAAGGGTGTAGTAGATAGTGCTGGGAATGTCTGGGTTGCGGCTGACACATCTTACGCTACACCAGACGGTCATTGTGGTCAGTGTGTTTATATTTAACAAAATCTGGCATGTGGCAGCATTGTAATCTTTGGTGTATGGGGATGTTCGGAGATTGTTGGGTAAGGTTTTCCGGTTTATTTGGGGTTCAGGATGTGATTGCTTAAGGGGGGGGGTAATGCTCCTGGTAGCTAGGGGAGGGCTGGGGTTAATTCACTTGGAACGAAGGTTGAAGAGCATCTACATGAAGCACAGGTTCCTGAGGGTGGGGAGGGGGGTGGAGGGTTGGGGATTGTGCAAGGAGATATTCGGAGATGGTGGAGGGGACGGGATTTGTGAGATTGTGAGGAGATGTTGCATGTCTTAATGCTCGTCAGAGATCCAAAGAACATGCAGGTAGGGTCCATAGAGAGGAAGCTATGGCCTAGGGAGGCAGTGGCTGTGGAAGGGACGTACCCGATGTACGCATGGGAAGACATTTTGGGATGGTTCAAAGGGTTGCATATCCAGCCGCGTGCGAGGGAGGTAATGTAAAGGTTTCCTTCATGGGATCTTGCCATCCGGGGTAGTTTTACATAATTGACAGATCAGGGAGGGTAGGATGTGTCAGGATTGTGGGGTAGATGTTTCATGTAGTCGACTTTTGGGAATGTCTAGGGGTTGTGAGGGAATGGATGTGGAAAGTGATTCAGTATGTGGAGAGGGGGGGTTGTCGGTATTAAGAGCACTAAGTTTAGATGTAGGTGGGGTAGAGGTGAAGGTTCAAAGGGTGGTGGCTTACTTAGTAGTTGATTTTGTCTTTATATTGTGGGTCATGAGAGATAAAGGGGCAGGGGAATGTAGGATGGCCCTAGCTGCAACTTTTTATAGGACGAAGTGTCGCAGCAGGGAAATATATGGAGGGAGGTGGGAGAGGGATTTTCCGGAGGGTTATAGGGATTTTAAGTTGAGGGATTTATGGGTTTTATAGATTGTCAGGAGTAAGAATGGGCTGGTCGCCCCCAGGGAGGGGTGCGATTGGGTGCGTGAGGAGAGTGAGGAGAGGAGTGTGTCACAGTGGTCTGACTGTCTGTGTGTATGGGATTGCGAGTTAGAATGGTTTTGGGTGGGGTGAGCTTTTTCGTCTGGGTCTGTGGGATGCTGGACCTACAGCAGGGAAGCCTGATGGGTCAGACATGATGCAGTGGGCACTTTGTGTGATTGGTGTTTGTGTTGTGTGAGTGTTCTATAGCTTCCTCGAGGTGTTTATATGTGTGATATGCTTATCATATTTGCTTTACTCTTTATTGTCTTCCTTGCAAGGAGTTCTGGTGTTTGTTTTGAGCACACTGCATCCTGAGTCTGTGCGCAGTTAAGACCTTTTCTCAAAGGTAGTATGTGTGCTCAGCCTTCGGGGTATGTGGGTATCTAGGCTTCTACCATACGAGGCATTCTTCTTGAATTTTGTGTATACTCGCTTATGTCGGTTGACATGGTATTGTAATCTCTGCAATAGCAGGTCATACGAAACACATGGTCACAATTATTTTAGATGTCAACTGTTGTCCTTTCTCTGTAGGATGTGATGTACAGCAGGAACTGTGTAATTTTTTTTTTGTTTTTGGTAGGTTTATGTATATAGCGTGTTATTAGGATATATATATATTATGAGACGTTAATTAACATCAATGACTGTTTTGTCGTTATGATTTATACCATAGTGTATATGAAGGATTGATATTATTTGTATTTATAATGTTAGCCGTTTACTGGCTGGATTTGTTTATATATTGTCATTGAAGTTTTTCATGTTCTTGTAAATGTTTAAGTATCAGAGATTTGTCACTGTGTATTCTAATGTGAAAATGGAATGTTTCCACGGGGGGGGGGGGGGGAGTGTAAACTTTACTGAGTAGGTATCCATCGTTTTTTTTATAGCACTATCTGTTTACGTGAAGCACAGTACATAGCAGTGTTTGATTTGAGTGCAGTCATTTCTGATGTCATTATGTATGTGCGTATTTCAGTAGCTTGTGTAGTCACAGTTGATTATTGCTCGCCACCTGTATCTTGTTACATATTAATTTATGTACCTATATACATTTTGTGCCTGAAGTTTTAAATAAAATATATAAAAAAAAATCGTATAAAGTATTTTGAAGGGTTCTTTTTTGCAGTTACCTAGTGCTGTTATGAGGTTGGCTGGTCATTCCCATGCTGCTACCTTTATACAGTTTATGTGTAATTCTAGCAATATGTTTGGTGTTATTTTTACACCAGGTCCTTTACACTCCTTGTTATTTGCAGCTTCTCAGTCAGTGCTAAACTTCGTGTCTGATCTGCCATCTCCTGCACTCCTTGTACTCTTTACTAAGTGCTTCATTTATCATTATAATTCTGATATTTATTATTCTTTGTACTGCAGGTGTCCAGACTGTCCTTTCCTGGCTGGCAGCAGAAAGCGACTTCGTGCTCACCTGTCAGCTCACGTTGACCGTCGTCCCCACTCTTGTTCTTACTGTGATTACCGCGCCACTTGCAAGAAAGATCTCCAAAAACACATCAGAACCCACACGGGAGAGAAGCCTTACCAGTGTGATCTTTGTCCCTACCGAGCCAGTGATCCCAGCAACTATCGTGCCCACATGAAACTAAAGCATAAAGATATGGTTTTACCTGCACCTCCCTATGGAAATATGTGAAGTGTGTGTGATAGTAACTGTATTATTGTTCCACCTAATATCTCCTTATTTTGGCTCAAATGTATACTCAAATTTTTGATTAATAATAAGACTAAGAACCTGGAAGTACATACTATATATATTTTGCGTTTATATGTAATGAGAATTAATTATAAACATCATTAATTTAAAAAATTATTCAGATGTGAATGGAAACAGATGTACAACACAAAAACTATCTAAATTTATTGATCAAGAAGACTAACACTGTAATGACAAGATAACATGAGATCAGTCATAGAAGTGAAACACCATTACCTTTACTAGGCATCTTAACCCAGTACAGTTTTGTTGTTACTCTTGTAAACTGGAGCAGAATATAAGATCCCGGGACACCATATACCTGATTCAATATGTAAATATCTTGAGGTGCTGTTAGAAACATGTTCAATATACAGTTAGGTTAAAATGGGTCTTAGAGCAGAATTCTCAAATATGTTCCTCATCACTTCCCATCTTCACCTAAGAGTTAGTTCTTACTTGTGTTACGGTGCAACTGCACTACTGATACAAATAACAGATATTATCCTGGAAGACAGTTGTAGAGGCTTGTCAGTAGGAAAGCTGAAACTGATACCATTTTACTCTGAATTACAGAGCTTAGAAACTTCATCTCAGAGACTTAGGCGCCATTATAAAAATTTAATTTTGACGCAGTTTAATATTTAAAAACAAATGCAGTTTTTTATATGTTAAGGTATTAATTTTATTTTTAATATATAGTGTTTCTAACTAGGAAATTTTGTGAATATTTTCATGTGACCAGAGGAGAGAAAGTAGATTATTTATCCTCGTAATTCATTGTCAGTAACTGACAAGTTCTAATTCACGACAAATATTATGTTGAGGAATGAGCATTTAAAGTGTGAGAATAAAATTATGGCTTATGTGACAGACTAACTTTGTACTGTCAAGGTATTTACCTATATTATTATATTCTACCCAAAACAGTTATTATAAATGAAAAAAAAAATGAATTTAGAGGATAGCACGTCTCTTATGGACGATTAAAAATTGTGGTAAGGTCTTATTGCATGACCTGCCCCTCACATTATCAGTGGTAAGGTCTTATTGCATGACCTGCCACTCACATTATCAGTGGTAAGGTCTTATTGCATGACCTGCCACTCACATTATCAGTGGTAAGGTCTTGTTGCATGACCTGCTACTCACATTATCAGTGGTAAGGTCTTATTGCATGACCTCCCCCTCACATTATCAGTGGTAAGGTCTTATTGCATGACCTGCCACTCACATTATCAGTGGTAAGGTCTCATTGCATGACCTGCCACTCGTGAATTTGATTTGGCAGTTCAATAAATTGTGTATCTGTATATGTGCTGTTTTAATGTACCTTTGCTCTCATATAATGTACCCTTGTTCTCGTATAACGTACCCTTGTTCTCGTATAACGTACCCTTGTTCTCGTATAACGTACCCTTGTTCTCGTATAACGTACCCTTGTTCTCGTATAACGTGACCTTGTTCTCAATAGAACACACAGATTAACGGTAAACAATTAAGTGGGCGGCTGATCCAGTGACAACCTCAGTTTCACAGTATTAGCCGAGATCCTGTTCCTCATCCTCATATCGGACAGTCAGATGTAAATCGTGTCTACTCTTTGCAGATGATACTAGACACTGCGCGAGTCATACATTGAGGACATCGTAAGTCTCCAAGTGGATATAAACCCAGTTTTCCAATGGGCCATGGAAAACGTGTGATGTTCAATGAGGACAAATTTCAGTCACCCCGTTATGGAAAACTTCAGGAAATAACTAGATCGGAGTATACCATAAACTTTTTTTTTGCTAGAGGAAAAAAAAGTACTGTGAATGACTTTGGAGTGTTAATGTTAGAGGATCCAACTTTCAAGTATCACAACAGTGCCATTATCACACCTGTGAAGAAAATGATAGGATGGATAATGAACTTTCAAAACAGGGATGCCACGCCAGTGATGATCCTTTATAAGACATTTATTCTCTCTAGGCTGGAATATTTCTATACACTATCAGCTCTATTCAAGGCAGATGAAATTGCAGACCTAGAGAAAGTACAAGGAACCTTCACTGTATCAGTCAGGCACTTCATTTACTGGGAACGTTTGGAGTCTTCACTTGTACTGTCTTTAACGCATGTGAGAAATATACATCATAATTTACACCTGGAAAATCCTAGAGGGATTGGTCCCAAGTATACACACAGAAATCACTTCCTATGAAACCGGAGACTCGGCAGCTGTGCAACATCTCTCCAAAGAAAAAGTAGGAATGCTATAAGTACACTAAGAGAAAATACTTGTCCGGGGCCCAAGATTATTCAACTTCCTTCCATCATGCATAAGGGGAATTACCAACAGACGTCTGGCTGCCTTTAAAGAGACCACTTGAAAGATACCTATAGACAGTGCCGAATCAGCTGGGCTGTGGTTCGAATACTGGATTACAAGCGACCAGCAGTAATAGCCTAGTCGACCAGGCCCCGATCAACAGTGATGTCTGATCAAGGCACTGGGCTGCGAAGGTGTCGACTCTCCGGAACATCCTCCAGGTGGACCATTCTTATCTAGTGTACCTTTGTTCTCACACAATGCACCTTGGATTTCATTTAATATTTGGCAGCATAATATTAAGTTGAAAGATTCAGCAGAATAACAAATTATTCTATTTAAACTACATTATTATTATTATTATAATCAAGGGGGAAGCGCTAAACCCGTAGGATTATACAGCGCCCAGGGGAGGGGGGGGATGTGGAAGGCATTCAGGCTTAATTCGGGGAACTGGAGCACAGATCCAATTCCCTAAATCAAGAGCCCCTCACCAACATCAAGGAACCTTCCATGAGGGGAATTTAAACTACAAAGAATACATTAAGTATATTCTTCTCAGTAAGGTTTCCATATATATTTTTTATGTTGTACAAAGTTCACTTATTACAATGGAAGTTCAATCATTTTTGAGAATGTTACAATTCTGCACTACTTTCTTCATTCATTAAGTTGATATTAATTTTCTTATGTTTTACAAAAGTTTAGTTTTTGCTGTAGCACATTTCCTGTATATGAGAATAACTGCAGTGAGTGGCAATGACTTGTTTCTACCTAACTATTCTGTCATGTATCCAACACTGTCAGTACTGGTGTGGGGTTAACTACACTGCTGTGTACAACAAGCATTGTAAATGTGTGTACACACACACACACACACACACACACAATGGATCAGAGAATACCTGACAGGGAGGCAACAACGAGTCATGGTACGTAGTGATGTATCACAATGGGCACCTGTGACGAGCGGGGTCTCACAGGGGTCGGTCCTAGGACCAGTGCTATTTTCGGTATATGTGAACGACATGATGGAAGGGTTAGACTCAGAAGTGTCCCTGTTCGCAGACGATGTGAAGTTAATGAGGAGAATTAAATCAGATGAGGACCGGGCAGGACTTCAAAGAGACCTGGACACCTGGTCCAGCAACTGGCTTCTCGAATTTAATCCCGCCAAATGCAAAGTCATGAAGATAGGGGAAGGGCAAAGAAGACCGCAGACAGAGTATAGGCTAGGTGGCCAAAGACTGCAGACCTCGCTCAAGGAGAAAGATCTTGGGGTGAGTATAACACCGAGCATGTCTCCGGAAGCACACATCAACCAGGTAACTGCTGCAGCATATGGGCGCCTAGCAAACCTGAGAACAGCGTTCCGATACCTTAATAAGGAATCGTTCAAGACACTGTACACCGTGTACGTCAGGCCCATACTGGAGTATGCAGCACCTGTTTGGAACCCGCACTTGACAAAGCACGTCAAGAAACTAGAGAAAGTGCAAAGGTTTGCGACAAGGTTAGTTTCAGAGCTAAGGGGAATGTTTTATGAAGAAAGGTTAAGGGAAATCAGCCTGACGATACTAGAGGACAGGAGGGTCAGGGGAGACATGATAATGACATATAAAATACTGCACGAATAGACAAGGTGGACAAAGACTGGATGTTCCAGGGAGGGGGCACAACTGGAAGTTGAAGAGGTCACAACTGGAAGTTGAAGACACAGATGAATCAGAGAGATGTTAGAAGTATTTCTTCAGTCATGGAGTTGTCAGGCAGTGGAATAGCCTAGAAAGTGATGTAGTGGAGGCAGGAACCATACATAGTTTTAAGACGAGGTATGATAAGCTCATGGAGCGGGGAGAGAGAGAACCCAGTAGCAGCAGGTGAAGAGGCGGGGCCAGGAGCTAGGACTCGACCCCTGCAACCACAAATAGGTGAGTATACACACACACACACACACACACACACACACACACACACACACAGGAGGAAAGGTTAAGGGAAATCGGACTGACGACACTGGAGGACAGAAGGGTCAGGGGAGACATGATAACGACATACAAGATACTGCGGGGAATAGACAAGGTGGACAGAGATAGGATGTTCCAGAGAGGGGACACAGGGACAAGGGGTCACAACTGGAAGCTGAAGACTCAGACGAGTCACAGGGACGTTAGGAAGTATTTCTTCAGTCATAGAGTTGTCAGCAAGTGGAATAGCCTAGCAAGTGAAGTAGTGGAGGCAGGAACCATACATAGTTTTAAGAAGAGGTATGACAAAGCTCAGGAAGCAGAGAGAGAGAGGATCCAGTAGCGATCAGTGAAGAGGCGGGGCCAGGAGCTGAGTCTCGACCCCTGCAACCACAATTAGGTGAGTACACACACACACACACACACACACAACACACACACATGGGGCCAAAACAAAGACAGGGAGCACACTAGGACAGAAAGAGAGGTTGGAAGACATTGAAGGAACTAGGACATGTGCAAGGACCTTACCAGATACCTGTGGGGGCCAGGAGCAGGTGAGCAGGAAGGATATACCAAGAAGCATAGGGGCCATAACTAGGGAAGGGACTGAAGGAAGGAACACTCCAGGGGAAGGAACTAAAACACATCAGAGATGCAAGGGGAGTCACAGTGGGAGGTGGAAAGGGAGAGATCCGTGTTTTGTCTATGGGCTAGACGAAGCTAAAGGGGAAACTTTGATGAAAGAAAGCAGGAGGAGAAAAAAGCGTTTGAAGATATCATGAAGGTGATAGGTGGGGGACATGACCCAGGTGGCAAATTTTCGGAGAATTGGGTGGTTCACAAAGAAAAGGAATGGGCCTCTCAAAGTAATTTTCAAGGAAAGAATAAACCCAAACCATGATCCTGCGGGAAAGAAAGCACGGCTGAGAGGCAAGCAGGAGTTCTGGAGTGTGTAACCTCGACCGAGACAGAACACAGGACGAAAGGAAGACAATGAAAGAGAGAGTTCAAAAACGAAAGGAGAAATGGGAGGAAATAAAAAAGGAGAGCAAATAACCCAGGATCAAATGGAAGGACAAGCGCACCCCCCAGAAACACTTGCAGAAGGACCCCAAAGCCACGAAAACCCCCAAGGCAACTGAACAACCCAAAACCAACCATCCAAAAACACCGATCCCTCTGTTTCCACCCCCCGCACCACAGTTACAGTAATAGGAAAGAGAAGTTGAAGGTTTGGTACAAAAAATGCAGATGGATTAACGATAAACAAAGAGGAATGGCAAGAAAGAATCAATGAGAAGTCCCCAGACATCATAGCAGTTACAGAAACAAAGCTCATGGAGACAATAACAGATGCAATCTTCCCACCAGGATACCAGATCATGAGGAAACATAGAAGGGGCAGGGGGGGAAGTGGGGTTGCTCTGCTCGTAAAAAACAGATGGAAATTCGAGAAAATGGAAGGAATAGATGAGACGGGAGAAAGAGACTACATAGCAGGTACACTTCAGTCTGGGGAACACAAAGTGGTCATTGCAGTGATGTATAATCCACCACAGAACTGCAGGAGGCCAAGAGACGAATATGAAGAGAGAAACAGAGCAATGGTGGACACACTTGCTGAGGTGGCAAGAAGAGCTCACTCCAGCAGAGCAAAGTTGCTGGTTATGGGGGATTTCAACCACAGGGAGATTGACTGGGAAAACCTGGAGCCACATGGGGGTCCCAAAACATGGAGAGCCAGGATGTTGGACGTGGTGCTGGAAAACCTCATGCACCAACATGTTAAGGACACTGTACCAGAGTGAGAGGGGAGGATGAACCAGCAAGATTGGCCCTTGTGTTCACCCTGGCAGCTCAGACATTGAGGACATCAAGTATGAGAGTCCCCTAGGAGCTAGCGACCACGTGGTTCTGTGCTTTGAATACATAGTAGAGCTGCAAGTGGAGAGAATAACAGGAGTAGAATGGGAAAAGCCTGACTATAAAAGAGGGACTACATAGGGTTGAAGAACTTCCTGCG